ACCGTCGGCGTGGCCTCTGCCCTGACGGCCGTCGGTGGGAGAGCGGGGTCTCTGCCTCGGGTGCCCTCCCACCCACGGGTGCCCTGTGCGCCCTGCGTGTGGCCCCCACTGTCCCTCACGCAGCTGCACAGCTCGCCCCAGGAGCACGCCCTCTGTTGCGGCCAGTGCAGGGTGTCCTGTGCGAGGCTGTGCCTGGGTGTGTTCACAGTGCACGTGCACACGTGTTCTGGGCGTCCTCTACACGTCCAACGTTGGGGGCTGCAGAGATAGCAGGCTGCTGTCTTTATAGCGGGTACCGTGGGCAGGGCCTGCCTGCCGCACCTCGGGGGTCAGAGTGACACACACACAGGCCCCTGTAATCGGGCCCGAGCCCTGCTTCAGACGGCCGCTCTGCGTCCCCACTGCAGACCTCTGCTCTGCGTCCCCACTGCAGACACCGCTCTGCGTCCCCACTGCAGACGGCCGCTCTGTGTCCCCACTGCAGACCTCCGCTCTGTGTCCCCACTGCAGACGGCTGCTCTGCATCCCCACTGCAGACGGCTGCTCTGCGTCCCCACTGCAGACACCGCTCTGCGTCCCCACTGCAGACGGCCGCTCTGTGTCCCCACTGCAGACCTCCGCTCTGTGTCCCCACTGCAGACGGCTGCTCTGCATCCCCACTGCAGACGGCTGCTCTGCGTCCCCACTGCAGACACCGCTCTGCGTCCCCACTGCAGACGGCCGCTCTGTGTCCCCACTGCAGACCTCCGCTCTGTGTCCCCACTGCAGACGGCTGCTCTGCATCCCCACTGCAGACGGCTGCTCTGCGTCCCCACTGCAGACACCGCTCTGCGTCCCCACTGCAGACGGCCGCTCTGTGTCCCCACTGCAGACCTCCGCTCTGTGTCCCCACTGCAGACGGCTGCTCTGCATCCCCACTGCAGACGGCTGCTCTGCGTCCCCACTGCAGACACCGCTCTGCGTCCCCACTGCAGACGGCCGCTCTGTGTCCCCACTGCAGACCTCCGCTCTGTGTCCCCACTGCAGACGGCTGCTCTGCATCCCCACTGCAGACGGCTGCTCTGCGTCCCCACTGCAGACACCGCTCTGCGTCCCCACTGCAGACGGCCGCTCTGTGTCCCCACTGCAGACCTCCGCTCTGTGTCCCCACTGCAGACGGCTGCTCTGCATCCCCACTGCAGACGGCTGCTCTGCGTCCCCACTGCAGACACCGCTCTGCGTCCCCACTGCAGACGGCCGCTCTGTGTCCCCACTGCAGACCTCCGCTCTGTGTCCCCACTGCAGACGGCTGCTCTGCATCCCCACTGCAGACGGCTGCTCTGCGTCCCCACTGCAGACACCGCTCTGCGTCCCCACTGCAGACGGCCGCTCTGTGTCCCCACTGCAGACCTCCGCTCTGTGTCCCCACTGCAGACGGCTGCTCTGCATCCCCACTGCAGACGGCTGCTCTGCGTCCCCACTGCAGACACCGCTCTGCGTCCCCACTGCAGACGGCCGCTCTGTGTCCCCACTGCAGACCTCCGCTCTGTGTCCCCACTGCAGACGGCTGCTCTGCATCCCCACTGCAGACGGCTGCTCTGCGTCCCCACTGCAGACACCGCTCTGCGTCCCCACTGCAGACGGCCGCTCTGTGTCCCCACTGCAGACCTCCGCTCTGTGTCCCCACTGCAGACGGCTGCTCTGCATCCCCACTGCAGACGGCTGCTCTGCGTCCCCACTGCAGACACCGCTCTGCGTCCCCACTGCAGACGGCCGCTCTGTGTCCCCACTGCAGACCTCCGCTCTGTGTCCCCACTGCAGACGGCTGCTCTGCATCCCCACTGCAGACGGCTGCTCTGCGTCCCCACTGCAGACACCGCTCTGCGTCCCCACTGCAGACGGCCGCTCTGTGTCCCCACTGCAGACCTCCGCTCTGTGTCCCCACTGCAGACGGCTGCTCTGCATCCCCACTGCAGACGGCTGCTCTGCGTCCCCACTGCAGACACCGCTCTGCGTCCCCACTGCAGACGGCCGCTCTGTGTCCCCACTGCAGACCTCCGCTCTGTGTCCCCACTGCAGACGGCTGCTCTGCATCCCCACTGCAGACGGCTGCTCTGCGTCCCCACTGCAGACACCGCTCTGTGTCACCACTGCAGACGCCGCTCTGCGTCCCCCCTGCAGGCCCAGACCTCCGCTCTGCGTCCCCACTGCAGACGGCCGCTCTGCGTCCCCACTGCAGACGCCGGTCTGTGTCCCCACTGAAGACGGACTCACTCCCCACCGTCCACCCTTGTCCCCTGCAGGGGGATGGTCCCTCGACTCCCCCAGCCTGGGGACGAGAGCGCAGGAGGTGGCAGGTCGCAGCCTGGAAGGAATGTGCCCTGCAGCTGTGCCGGGCGGCTCTATTTCTGTCCGGGAGATTAGGGGCTCATCCTCCGTGTCGGTCTGCGCCCGGCTGTTTGTTTTGGTCGTCAGTGAGCCTTGGCTGGCCGGGCCCCGCCTCCAGCTGCTGGCTCCCGAGTCCCAGCGGTGGTGGGTGCTGGCGGTGGCTGTGCTGGGGCCTCTGCACAGTGACAGTGCATCGCCCTGTCTGCCCTCTTCGGGGTAGCCTGATGGTCAGCCCCCTATAGGTCCTGGGTGGACGCTAACATCTCCACACCAGCTGTCTGTGCTGCCGTCCTCCTGTGTGTCCTTAAACCCACTTCACAGGGGCCAGCAGGAGGCATGGTGGTTAGGGCACTGGACTCCCATGTGGTCAACCACAGTTCACATCCCGGACCCAATGGCTTGAGACCACGCTGAGCACATGTTCGTGCATGCCCAGAACCCCAAGAGGAGGGACCAGCAGATGGCGTAATAGTTATCTCGCTGGACTCCCACGTAGTCGACTGCGGTTCAGGTCCTGGACCTTATGGCTTAAAACTCAGGGCGGGCGGGTGTGCGTGGGTGCTACAAAA